GGTGCAGGGGCTGCAGGGAGAGTGGGGAGCAGGGGTCACAGAGGCTGTAGGGGCGGGGAGTGCAGGGGGCGCAGGAGCAGGGCAGGCAGGGGGCGCAGAGGCTGCAGGGGTAGGGGGGTGCAGGGGCTGCAGGGCGAGTGGGGAGCAGGGGTCTCAGAGGCTGCAGGGGTGAGGGGGTGCAGAGGCTGCAGGGCGAGTGGGGAGCAGGGAAGCACTTAGCAACTCCCAACCAAGATCAGAGCGGGAGGGAGGAGGGGGAATGCGGGGTGCTCAGAGGAGGGGACAGAGTTGGGGCAGGGACTTTGGGGAAGGGGCGGGGTTGGGGCGGGGCCAGGGCAGAGTTGGGGCGGGGCCGGGGTGAGGAAGGGGCGGAGTTGGGGCAGGGCCAGGGCCCCCGTGGAGTGTCCTCTTTTTTCAGTGTTGAAAATGGTAACCCTAGTGTTACTCCAGCCATGAGGCTGCAAGTGAGAATCAGCCCCAGGGACAGAAGCTGCATTTTCTCCCTTTGCTGCTCTTTCCTCTCCCCTTTTGTGTGTGTTTGTCTGGATTTGCCTTAAACCAGGCAGGGTCAGACTGTGACAGCATCAACAGCAGCAGCCGCTCCAGCTCATCTAAACGAACTTTCCCTCTTTCCCCTAAAAGGACAATTCAGACCATCTCTGACGCCATCCTACAGACCGACAAGCAGGGGGTTCTCCATAAAAGGCTCTATAGCCACAGGGAACAGAAGAACATAGGAACAGAAGAACGGCCAGACTAGGTCAGACCAAAGGTCCATCTAGCCCAGTATCCTGTCTGCCGACAGTGGCCAATGCCAGGTGCCCCAGAGGGAATGAACAGAACAGGGAATCATCATGTGATCCATCCCCTGTCGCCCATTCCCAGCTTCTGGCAAACAGGCTAAGGACACCATCCCTGCCCATCCTGGCTATTAGCCATTGATGGAATAAGGGAGATAGTTAAAATGAAAGCCCCTTCATGCTGTTGCCCCTTTAGGCCAAGTGGTTCACCAGTACTTACAGGGCTGTTTCTGGGAGGAGAAAGCAAACATACAAGACAGGTCTAGTCTTGGTGTGATCTTATCTATTTACACAGCACGCACGCACTGTCCTGATTTGCTGAACGCAGCAGAAACAAACAGCCACAGGCAGTTTCCTTACTCTGAAATCCGCACGCCTGCACCTCCAGCGGGCTCTATGCCCATAAAGCTCTGTCTCGCCACTTCCTCCAAGGCCTGGTCTACACTAGAGTTAGGTCAGCCTAATTACATCCTGTGCGATGTAATCAAGCCGACCAAAGCCCCACTGTAGACACGGCCGGGTCGACAGAAGAACTAATGAGCCTGAGGCTGGGGGTGGGGGAGTGTTCCGAGAGTCACAGGAAGGGAGGAAAATGCCTCTGGCTTCTTCCAAGACCCTTATCGTGACCCAGTCTCCCCCCCCATACACACCCTGTGTCACTCATGGAAGTTCTTCCTCGCTTCCCTGTGGACTTGCTGAGGTCTGCAGGGTGGGAGAAGCCCCAGCAGGCTGATTGGGAGCTATTAACCATTCCAAGCACTTCATGGAAATCTTCTTCTTTCTTTAAGGAAATTCTTTGGCTTCCTCTTGAGAAAATACTAACCCTTTTGTGGGATTTCACATGTCACACATTGTCTGGGCCCTTCTGTCCCCAGAAAAGCAGAGGGGTGTCTCTCCTGGCATTACTATAGGGGCAAAGTTAAGGTTATGTGCTTGTGGTTAGGGGAAAGTGTCACCTTAACTCCGCCTCTCCCTGTTCCTGCCCAAACTCCCACTCCACCTTCACATGTGAGCTGATGTCTATCTCCTGTCTAAACTAACCGTACATGGAATTTCTCATTGCTTCTTCCCAGGCAGGCTGAGCAGTGCACTGGAGCTGCCATGGCTGGGGTAGATGCTAAAGAGCCTCCCAAGATACCTGAAGGGGATATGGAAGTACTGAAGGCTGCTGTTGGGGAAGGAAACCTCATCAAAGCAGCTGCTAAAGCGAAAGAGGCTCTGGAGATGGTTGATAAAATCACTGTCAACATCGCTGTCACGGGGCAGGCGGGCTCTGGAATATCGTCCTTTGTCAACGCCATCCGGGGCCTGAAGGACAGAGATAAAGGTGCTGCTGCAATAGGGGTCACTGAAACAACAATAGAGCCCACTCCTTACCGACACCCTGAATATCCAAATGTAACAGTCTGGGATCTGCCAGGGATCGGGACCCCAGATTTTAAATCACACACGTACCTCGAGAAGATGGAGTTCAGCCGCTACGACTTTTTCATCATCATCTCCAACCCCCGCTTGACATACCACGACATTAGCCTCGCCCAGAAGATCCAGAGACAGAGGAAGAAGTTTTACTTTGTGCGCTCCAAGGTGGACCAGGATTTGACAAATGAGAATGATTCCTGTGACAAGGAGGGAACCTTGAAGCAGAGCAATGCTCCCGCGAACAAGCCACATCAGTACTGTGAGAGTGAGATCCTCAGTGCCATCAGAGAGAACTACATCAAGGGGCTGGAAGCAGGAGGGGTGGCCTCCTCACGGGTTTTTCTTGTATCTAAATGGTACTTGGGCAAGTACGATTTTCCCAAATTGCAGGAAACGCTAGTGGATGAGCTCCCCAGTCACAAGAGACGCGCTGTTCTACGGTCCCTGTCCAACATTGTTAAAGAAACTTTGGAGAAGAAAAAAGAACAACTGCAAGCACAGATATGGATGAAAAGTCTGGTGTCATGCGGAGTCGCTGCTGTTCCTATCCCGGGTCTCTCCACTGTTTGTGATGTTGCCATGCTGGTGACGTCCCTGAAAGGGTTCTGCAGGGACTTCGGCCTTGATGAAAAGTCTCTTGCTGTACTTGCTAGGCAGGCTAACAAGCCCATTGCAGAGCTGAAGGCCATTATAAAGTCCCCATTGAGCGAGGAAATAACAAAAGATCTTGTAATTACGCTACTGACCAAGTGCGGTGCTGGGGCAGTGCAATACTCAACAATGTTATTAAAATTTATACCCGTGGTAGGTGCTGTGGTAGGTTCTGTGGCAGCTGCAGCAGTTGCTCTCCCTACCACAAAGATCATGTTGCAGAATTTCCTGGATGCTGCTGCTGCTGACGCTGCCCGAGTTCTGGAGGTGGTTATGGAGGAAGCCATGTCAAACTTAGAGAAAAAGCACAAAAACACCCGCACCCCGTGAAATGATGAAACGTCAGCACATGGCTGAAAGTATCTAAGTAAAGACCCTGTCCCAGCTGGAGCTCGGCGCTCAGATCTGTGGGAACTCTCATGAAATTGCTGCCTTTCCACATCAGGTGTGAAACTTCACCATAACTGAGCTCCGACCTCCATTTCCACTGAGGTCTCCCATCCACCATAAAAATGATGTCATATAAAATTTAATTCAATAAAAGGGGGGCGGTTCCTGACTGACCCTGTTCTTTGTTTTGTCTTTATTTCCCCAGCGAACGAGGCCAAGTTGTGATAAAGCTCCGCAGGGTCCCCAGTGCCTCACGCTCTCTGCAGGGAGCTCAGGGAATGGTTATTTCAGGCCCCAGCCGAGAGCAGGGTCATGGCAGAGCCCATTGAACTCTTCACTGGGAAACGACAGGGAGCGACACCAACAATGACTCGTTCTAGCCACAGATTTTCCACTACTTGGTTCCCGTTGCCCTGAAATTGCAGCCTTGGCCGGCGCCACGTTGGGCATGTGGGTAAATTCACTCAGACACAATCGTAAAAACCCTAATTCCTGACCTGACTTGGGTGACGAATCCCCGGTGCCAACTCCTCCCTCGTCACTGCAGGGCCCAAGGCAAATGAAACAGGCTTTTTAGCACAGATGCTTTCGCACTTTCCCCCAGGCTGCCCCTGTCCGGGGAGGAGCCTCCTGTAACCTTCCACAGAGCCCCCGGACTGACCTCATGCGAACGCCTCCTTCAGCCTCGCCCCTGCAATGGACCCTCTGGATCACTCGACAATGGCCCACGGCCGGAGCTCTGGGAGCGCTGCTCATTGTGTTATCCCAACCATCTCCCTGCTCCCTTGTGCTCCCCTGTCTGCCTGGAGCACCTGCCTGCTGGGTCTAGTCTTCAATTGTCGCTCTTGGGGGCAGGGCCCGTCCTTTTCTTCTGTGTCTGTACAGCACCTAGCGCAACAGGCCCGTCTCCTGATGGGGTCCTAGGTTCTCCTGTGAGACAATAATTGATTAAGAAATGCTGAGACTGATCCTTGTAATTCTGTCTCTGTGCTCATAGGTTTAACCAGCTCCTTATGCAAAGGTAGATTTGTCCAGAGAAGTACCTGTGTCTGGCTGTGCTATTAACCCTGTGAATGGCCCTGGATTTAAATGGAGAAGGGTCAAGATGTGTCTGGCTGATAAACCCATATTGGATGCTTGATAATTACCTGGCTGAGTGGCAGCTATCACTTATACGCTGGGCTGTTCTCCCATTCATGGCTGGTGTGTTTGTGTGGAGAGAGGCTTTAGTGTTTGATGCTGAGTTTATGTACATCTATTGCTCCTTGATTTGCTATTCTCAGTGTGAGCCTATTCTGTAGTTTATTAGAAGAGCCGATGATTGAACAATTCATTTGAGCAATTGGAGACTTCGATACACTGCGGCTGGTTTGGCCATATGTATAGCCAGTGTGTCAGCCTCTGCCTTCCCCCAATGACCCATTGATTTGTTGATTTTGTTTCCATAATGATTAGCGGTCCGGTTCTGCGATCCTTCCACACCCCCAGAACGGGCCCCTCTTGTCTTGTAGAAATGATTTAATATTTCAATTGTAATAAACTTGCATTTAATCTGGACTAAGAGCCCGTGTCTCTGAATTTCACCATTGCTAAATGTCCATGGTTTAAGGGCATTGCTCTCACTAGACAGGAGCTCTTCCCTAGAGCGTCACTAATTGGGGGGTTTAACGAGGGGGGGGGGAATGCATCCATAGGGTGTTTGTGAGGAGAAGAAGCGAAACCCTGAAGCAGCAGCGTCACCAGCAACAAGGGTCGGGGGGATTCTCTACAGTTCCTTAACTGTGACTCGAGCCCCCACCCAGTAACCTGGGAACCTGTATCCGCTCTGGGCACCTTTGCTGGGCAAATCTGTACCCAGTCACCAGTACAGTCAACAGAGGGTTAAACAGAAGGACTTTGGCGGAGGAAAGAGGAAGGACGGGGTGAGCTGGGACAAACATTTACAGTTCAACACCTTCCCCCATCTACTGTCTCAGGGCGCATCTGTCACAGCCCCCACCAATTGCTCCCTGAGCGGCTGATGCAATTTGTTCTGCCTCCCAGCCCCTCACTCACAGTTTGTGGCTGCAGGAATCCAAGAGAATCAGGGTCCCTGGGGCTCGACCTCCCATCCTGCTATGATGATTTCAGAAGTGGGTTTAAACCTGTGTGGGGACACGGCCATTGGACCTTAAACCTAACGCCGCCACCACTCAGCCCTTCTGGGGCTGTTACGATGATTTCAGCAGCTAGGACAGGGAGCCTGCACCAGAATCTTTAGGTGAACGTAGACCCTGATCCCAGTCACTGTTCAGGCTTTGCCCAGCTGGTTCCCACCAGGGAACTCTTCAGAGTATCAGCCCAACTAAATGCGCCCACATATTAACCAGCGGACGAGCATCCACCGAAATACTACCAAGAAGCAGCGTCATCCAGAGGCATCGCCGCCAAAATGCCGCCGATCTTTGGCGGGACGCCTCTGGATGCTGCTGCTTGTCCGCGGCATTTTAGCAGCGACACCTATTGACGTTGCCGCTTGTCGACGGCATGTCGGCAGATGCTCGTCCGCCGCCACGGTCCTCCATGGCTCATTGTCTGGCACCCGCCAGACGAAAAAGGTTAGGGACCACTGCTCCAGAGTATCAGCCCAACTACAGAACGTAGCCACATTTAACCCCGATGTCCCCAAACCATCCGCAGTTGATATGTAAATGAGCTACGGCCTCACTCAGTCCCTTTGCCCTCCAGCAGATGCCAGCAGAGAGCTCCCTCTGGTACCTCCCTTCTCTCATGGACTTCATAGAATCATAGACTATCAGGGTTGGAAGGGACCTCAGGAGGTCATCTAGTCCAACCCCCTGCTCAAAGCAGGACCAATCCCCAACTAAATCATCCCAGCCAGGGCTTTGTCAAGCCTGACCTTATAAACCTCTAAGGAAGGAGATTCCACCACCTCCCTAGGTAACCCATTCCACTGCTTCACCACCCTCCTAGTGAAAAAGATTTTCTAATATCCAACCTAAATCTCCCCCACTGCGACTTGAGACCATTACTCCTTGTTCTGTCATCTGCCACCACTGAGAACAGTCTAGATCCATCCTCTTTGGAACCCCCTTTCAGGTAGTTGAAAGCAGCTATCAAATCCCCCCTCATTCTTCTCTTCTGCAGACTAAACAATCCCAGTTCCCTCAGCCTCTCCTCATAAGTCATGTGCTCCACCTCCCAGGGCTCACACTCCTCTCTCCTGGGTCTGCCCCTACCTGGGTTCCCCCTCCCTTGTATAGTCTTTTCCTGGCCCTGGCCCTGGCCCAGCTGGGGTCACAAAGTATCATTAAGTTGCCCTATCACCACCAGCGGGGGGGGGCTTGCTGCTAGCTCACAGGCCAGGCCGAGCTTGGTTTGCCTTAAAGGGCCAGCCAGCCTGTGACACCTCCCACAACAAACCACCCCACTGCACACACAGTGGAAAGAGAGGCTGAGAGGCACCGAATCACACGTGACAGATGTCAGTCACCTCATATAATACCTGACGGGAAAGTGCTCGGATCCCCTGGGGACGAGATCAGGATCAGAACTTGGAGAGAATCCAGGCTCGTCTGGGAACCACAGAAACCTGCCTGGGTCTCAGGGGAAGAATCTCCCAGTCACGTACTCAGGTTTGTTCTTAAATCATAAGACAAAATTAAGGTCCCCTCTCCCCTCAAACACAATTTCTCACTGTCTTATGAACTGTTTGTCTTGCTCCCACAGCCCCATTATTACTGCCTAATAATGAACTATTCTTTCCTGAGCTTTTCAGCACAGTCTTTTCTACATATGAATTAACCCCGTGATCCCTCTCTGGGCACAGTGCTGCTCCCAGTGGAGCTAGCGGGATTTGTGCCACAGACTCAATGGAGCAGGATCTCCATTTTACAGGGGAAAAGTGCAGCACAGAGAAAATAAGAGACTTGCTCAAGATTGCACAACAACTATAGACATCGAGCTCACAATAGAAACCAGGAGTCCTGGCTCCCCGTGCCCAGCTCTATATTCAGATTTTATTACTTAATGAAGCAGCAGCAAAGAGTCCTGTGGCACCTTATAGACTAACAGACGTATAGGAGCATGAGCTTTCATGGGTGAATACCCATTTTGTCGGATGCATGTAGTGGAAATTTCCAGAGGCAGGTATAAATATGCAAGCAAGAGTGAGTCAGGCTAGAGATAACGAGGTTAGTTCAATCAGGGAGGGTGAGGTGCTCTGCTAGCAGTTGAGGTGTGAACACCAAGGGAGGAGAAACTGCTCTTGTAGTTGGCTAGCCATTCACAGTCTTTGTTTAATCCTGAGCTGATGGTGTCAAATTTACAGATGAACTGAAGCTCAGCAGTTTCTTTGGAGTCTGGTCCTGAAGTTTTTTTTGCTGCAGGATGGCTACCTTTAAATCTGCTATTGTGTGTCCAGGGAGGTTGAAGTGTTCTCCTACAGGTTTTTGTATATTGCCATTCCTGATATCTGACTTGTATCCATTTATCCTTTTACATAGGGACTGTCCAGTTTGGCCGATGTACATAGCAGAGGGGCATTGCTGGCATATGATGGCGTATATTACATTGGTGGACGTGCAAGTGAATGAACCGGTGATGGTGTGGCTGATCCGGTTAGGTCCTGTGATGGTGTTGCTGGTGTAGATATGTGGGCAGAGTTGGCATCGAGGTTTGTTGCATAGATTGGTTCCTGAGTTAGAGTTACTATGGTGCGGTGTGTAGTTACTGGTGAGAATATGCTTCAGGTTGGCGGGTTGTCTGTGGGTGAGGACTGGCCTGCCACCTAAGGCCTGTGAAAGCGAGGGATCATTGTCCAGGATGGGTTGTAGATCACTGATGATGCGTTGGAGAGGTTTTATCTGACTCACTCTTGCTTGCATATTTATACCTGCCTCTGGAAATTTCCACTACATGCATCCGACGAAGTGGGTATT